CCTGGGATCCACATGGTAGAAGGACACCCAACTCTCTTGACCTCCACTTAACACTCTATGAGCGCCCTCCACACAAAATCAGTGTAACATCAAAATAAACAAAGCAGTAAGACATGCTGCAACAGTAGAGACCCTGCTCTGTGCTTGAGGCCTCGAGTTCAGTTTCCAGCACCTAGAAGCCATGTCCAGTGGCTCACAGATGCTGTACCTCCACCTGCAAGACATCCAGCACCCTCTTCTGCTCTCTGTGTACACAGACCTACACAGATTCACACATGCATGTATGCATGCCTGCCCATGTGTGTAGACACACATGCACATACACAAGTGAACTTTTTTAGGAAAAGAATTATACAACTGCTATACTAAATGCTGACTTTTCAGTGTACTGAATTTGTCTTAGAGTGCTAAATTGGTATTTTATTTTCCATCATCAAAACGTGGTAAGTGGAGGGTGGTTTGAATCTGTTTCCAACAACTTAATATTTTGCTTAAGGTCAAACTAGCAAGTACTGGAGTTGTCATTGTCTTTGGAATTGGATGCTGAAACAAAATTATAACTGTAGCCGATTGAATTTCATCTGTACTAGACAGCATGTGTCTTAGGGCTTCTATTGCTGTGAAGAGACACCATGACCATGGCAACTCTTACAAGGAAAACATTTAATTGGGTAGCTTATAGTTTCAGAGGTTTAGTCCATTATCCTCATAGCAGGACATGGCAGCATGCAGGCAGAAATGGTACTGGAGAAGGAGCTGTATTAATACGCGTCTGTATTTTTTTTTCTCCCATAGGTATTTGATTCCAAATGCAGGAGATGCTACCAGAGCCATAAAACAGCAGATCATGAAAGTGTTGGATGCTTTGGAAAGTTAATGTAAAAGAAAGTTATTTAAGTGAAATTATGGCAACCAAGAGAAACATGAAAATATATTTCCTGACTCAATACTAACCAGAGACCTTTCATTTGCTCATGAGGATGCCTGAGTAGAGGGTCTAAGTGCAAATTATTGTAATCAATCTCGGGATGGGTACACTTTTTTAAAAATTTCTTTCGCATCTTTGGTTTTATAAAATGATTTATTATAAAGGCCAGTTATTAAATGACTTTGAAGTAACTGGCCTTGTGCCCTATGGACCAAGGGCACAGAATGCAGTTCTGTTTTGAAGAGCTGTTTTAAGGGACATGCATCATCTTCAGGTTTTAAAACAACTGTACACATACATATTTGCAATGTCTTCACTGAAGTTTAGAGATAGATTTAGTTGAAGCGAGTTAATTGCTACATTGAGTTTTGCTGCAGTGAGCAATATCAGAACATTGAAAGTATAGATTAATAACTAGCTCACTGTTTCTGTTCTTGAAAAGATTGAAGTCTGTTTAATGGAATGAATGGAGATTGTAGCCGATTCAGAATCGAGCCCCAGTGAAACACTGCAGCATCAGTTTCACTCATCTTCACTCCAGTAGGTAATGACTTGTCCACTGATTGCCTCAGAGATCCTAAGCTCCATCCCCGTGGTGCTAAGGAACAGTTAACAGCATTAGAAGTAAGCAGGCATGCTAAGGTTCAGATTAGCATTGGGGGGACAGAAGGGTATCTGTAAAATGTCATTGGTCTTGATTACATGGACCATTTGGTTTAGGATATTTCAGAGTGTTTTGACTGCTCTGATTTAGCCTTCTTGAGATGATCGCCTGTGACCACACTAATGTCCAGTTTAAAAAAAGACAGAGAATCAGAGAGCCATAGAAATTGCAGTGTTTTTATATCACTTTCTAAAAATGTTCTTTTGGTTTTGTCTTCTCAGTAAAAATGTCAGTTGTTGAAACGATTTTCATTCTGACAAACTGAAGCAGTCTGCTGTATTTTGCAGCTTGCTCAGATTAATTTCTGTGGCCCAGATGAGTCACATGTGATGAGAGATCCAGAAACATCTTTTGGACCATGGGATGATTTTCATAAAATCTGTTTGAAAAATAGTAACTATAACCTGCCATGTCATAAAACATAATAGATTTTCGTTGAGGGGTCGGCTGATAGAAATATCTAGATGACCCCACTAGTAGCCAGTTGTTTTAATTTGCTTAATGGAAATCAAGTGAATAAAAGATAATACAATTAAAGAACCTTATTCTGATACCTAAATAAAAACAGTTTATTTGAGTGGTTGAAGACATTTGCATGAAATTGCACCTGTGCAGTACTTGATATTTATAACTCTTTCCCCAAAGTATTGTATTGCATTTTTTCCATTTTCTTGACACCCTCTTTGAAATGTCCTGAAGTCTCATTTTTCAACCATCTCAGCTATGGGACTTTTTTTCATAATATTAATGTAAAGATGTTTGTGTTACTGTTTATAAATTACAATTGTAAATAAACTGATACAGTTTGCTCAAAACTTGTTCTCAAGGCTGTCCTTTTTTTATTTGTATTTTATCTGCAGAGTAAGCATTTCTGCTATATTCCTATTTCTGTTCATGCACCTTAGGTAGCTTAAAACTAATGACACCTTATGGGTGCTGGGGTGCTCATAGTCCCAGCTATTAAAGAATAATACTGAGGCAGGAGGATGATGAGCTCAGTCCTGTGACCCTACCCTCCTCTTTTTACTAGGACAGATCAATAGATCTAAAAGGACTCTGGCCAGCTTAAGCGTGGCAGGCATGGTTCCGGCAGGCCTTGCCCTTCTCTCCCATTCCTGCTTTTCAAAAAACCGTTAGATTACATCCCTAAAGCTGGCCACTAAGGTCTTTCTCCTTATTTGGCTACTTCCTCCTCCTGAGGCTGACTACCAAGGTCCAGCTATCAAAGTACTGAAGTCAAGCAATCAAACGCCCCCTGGCTCACCTCATTAACATGCCAATTAAAATTAAACACCTCATCTTAACACAGGGTTTACCCTGAACCTCTATAAACTGCCATTCACCTCTGGACCACATCTGTCTCCTCTCTATCCAGAGAGAGGCAGTCCTTTGTCCCTCTGGGGCAGATACCCCTCCCCCTTCTCCCTTGTTCCCTTCCCTTGTCCTCTGTCTCCAGTGTTGGTCTCTTAGTTTCTGCCCTCTGTCCCTCTGGGGAAAACGAATCTCCTTTGTGCTGAGAACTTGGCCTTGGGGGGTCTTAAGCAGATACTTTTCCTTTCAAGATCCATTTCCATAGACCTGGCAACCTCTCTAATAGTTGCTGTGGCTACCAGGCCAATGCAGTTTCTAGTGTAAGATGGAGATGGGGTGAATATGTTATACCTGGATGAAATAAGGTCATACTGCAACACTCACTCACACACACCTTTAGGCTCACACATTCATTCTTTACCCTCTTCCACGATGTCCCCAGGTTCTTAGATGATTCTGGGATCCCTTTGAGATATGACGTGGGTGCTGGGAACCAAACCCAGGTCCTCTACAGGAGCAGTAAGTGCTCTTAACCACTGAGCCATCTCTCCAACCCCTGCTTTGACCCTTTTAAACTGTTGTTTCTGGCTCTCTGCCTACCCCCCCCCATGCTACACCCCAAAGTTTGTAAAGGCTCAAACCCCCCCACCCCCATGCTCTTTTGGCTAAGTTTTCTTTTGGGGGATTTGATCTCCAGGCATTTGGTTTCTGTCTTGTTCCAGCTCTCCAGTCCCCTTGCTTCCAGCTCTGCAAATGTGAAAAGGTATGCACTTTCACCCCACCACTGCAAAAGTTAGAAAGCAGTGTAGCTGGGGGTGTGGTACACGACTCAATCCCTGCATTCGGGAGTCAAGGCCGGCCTCAGCTACATAATACCTTAAAAGGCAGTGTGGGTTACCTGAGACCCTGTCTGAAAACCAGAAAAGCCCCCAAATGAATCAAAACAGCGAACTAAGTAATAAACACAAACGTCATATCTTAGAACTGCACAGCACCAACTCTCAACCTGACACTTTCTGAGCAAGCTTCTGAAGTCTGCTGGCCTGAATCAACCAGGTGCACCACCTCACGTCTGTCAGCATGTAGCATTCATTACTCTGACCCCCGCTGTGACCCAACCTGACACTTCAGTCCTTATTACCACATAAAGAGCCTTTCTACCAAAAGGTACCACTCCTTAACCATTTAAGGCACACCACCATAATGTAGGCTGCTCCTCTTTGCCCTTCCTTCTGAAGGCCTTATTTAAAGAATTTGTAATTATCCCTTTCTCTTTAATGTATCCAAGCGCAAAGAGTGAGCCATTTTTAGTGCAGAGCCTGGGCAAGGAGGTAGCCCAGTGGTAGACAGATAATCAACAAGTGCAAAGCCAGAGGCTTACTGACCAGCACTGCAACAGCACAAAATAACAAAGGTCATAGACACCTAATGCTCCAAACTCATCAAGGCCCCGCCCCTGGGCCACGCCCCCTCTGCGCGTTGCTGGGCCCCGCCTCCCGCGCTCGGCCACTGGATTGACTGGTCGCGTTCCCCGTCGCGCTCGGTGCACCGGAGAAGAGCCATGGCTAGTAAGTGCCTCGCGGCCTGGTCGTCGAGCTCCCCCGGGGGAGCGGAGGCTTCGGTGCGGCGGTGCAGATGAGCCGGCTGGGCCTCTGCGTGCCCCGGTCCGCCTTGCCGGTAGCTCAGATCGCTCGGAGCCAGGGCTGCTCCGGGAAGCTCCGGCTAGCGGGGCCGCCGGCCGTGCGAGCGCAGGCCGCCGTGCGAGCGCAGGTCTCCGCGCCAGTCGTCCTGAGTCGGAGGATCTGCTCCCGCTGCGGGTCCCAGAGCTGTGGGGGTGGGTGGTGGTTTCACATTTCGTGGCCCTAACTCCCTCGCCTAACAGAGGGTTGTTAGTCGCCTCTCGAACTTCACATTTCATCTGTTAGCCTCAAGGGCCACTTGGTTGGTCCAGGGACTTGGTGCGGATTTCCCACAGCCAGCTTCCTGGTCTGTAAATGCTTATCGGTGCAACGACCTGGCATGCGCACTTAAATGTTGTCCCCATACTGGGCCCTTCCCTCGGGGTGGTTTGCGTCCCTCCCCCTTGGGTCATTATCATTATCATATCAATGTATGGTGGTTATTGGGACAGCCAGGATCTTCAATTGTGGAGGTGAAGCCACAAGTCCGGCCCTCGGAGCACTCCAGTGGCGGGGTTCCCTGCTCCAGCCTGCAGAGGGCGCTTTCCACCAGCCCCGAGCCTGGGTCGGGACCTCACCCCTACAGTGGCTGGAGGGAGAGTGGAAGCTAGATCGTAGTGCGTTTATCCCTCAGAAACAGAGACAGCCCAGCTTCTTAGGTTCGGGGCGGGGGACCTTAGTGAGTTTGTGTGAACTCTGGTGACAGCTCGGGTGTGTCAGCCTGAGAGTAAGGCCGGGTTTGGGTTTCTTTTGTTTTTAATCCAGATTCTGGCACTGCTCAATAAAAGGCATTCAGGGCGAATCGTAGTTTCCTTTACCATATTTAGGATAAACCAAGGAATGAGAGATCGTAGTTTTTAATACTTTTAAGGACAATTCTGGCCTTCATCAGAAGCCAAGTTTTGTCAGTGTCGGTGATGTAATTTATCCTTTAGATTGTCCGTAGTTGTGACAATCAATACCATGTCCAAACGTTGCCAGATGCCCTCTTTGGGAATCCTGGTTCTCTCCGAACTTGGGCCGATCTGACGACGGCTTGCTTTTGTCTTTTTCCTCAGCTTTCCGATTGGCGCTCATCCAGCTTCACGTTTCTTCCGTTAAATCGGATAACATTGCCCGGGCTTGTAGCCTAGTCCGGGAGGCAGCCAAGCAAGGTGCCAAAGTGGTCTCCCTGCCGGTAAGTATGGGGGCGGCCGGCCCTCTCTAGGAGCCGGGGACCTGCCTCAGTCTTGCTTGCCAGTGGAGGTCCTCATGTGCCCCACCTCCAGAGGTGTCTTTTGGAACCCTAGTATTGTTCCGTGTTTGTCTCATCTATCACAAAGACTAGCAGGGGTCTTTGTCGTAAGATGTCTAACAGGATCACCTGCTCTGTTCAGATGAGGAATACAAAATTTCAGGGGCGTTACCTCAAGGTAACGCTCTCAGGGGCTGAATGCGTGCTTTGTTCCTTACACAGCGAAGGCTTTGCTGTAGTTGTCATGTTTAAGCTCAGGTCAGACCATGCTGTTTTAGCATTTTTTGAAAAAATTGTTTTGAGCCTTTGGTTGAAGGTTGTATCATGTGCCATATTTGATGGAAGGTAAGTACAGGGTCAGCCTTGGAGTTCCTGGATAAGCAGGAATCATTAACAAAGGGAATCTTATTAATTTCGTGTGTGTGTGTGTGTGTGTGTGTGTGTGTGTGTGTGTGTGTGTGTGTGTGTATACACTCCCTG